TACACTACGAATAATTAATGATAGAGGAATTTTATTTCGTACAATATTGCGTAATAAAGATAATTTTGGAACTCGTATCAATCAACAAGTAAAAAATTCTATTTTAAAAGAGATTCTTTCTTCTGTAAATTCAATTTGGTTGATATGTTACTTTCGTTTTAAGTAAATCTTTTTTCTAGATTTCTTAAAATTGAAATGTGTTAGATAATTAAAATCTATTTTCATTTTTCTACGATAAAATGATATTTTCTATTGATTAGATAAAATCACTGAACATCTACGATGCATCATTGACATTACAAAATGCTCAACGTTTTTGTACATTGTTGTCGAATCAATTTAATAACTTAAAAACACTTTGATTGTCTATATGGAATTCATATAGGCATTGGCGATGGAGACCATCTCGAATTAATGATGGAAAAAACAAATCTACAAAACGTATTGTTAATCTTATGTATTTGCTTGTTAATTATTTACAAGAACTTGTTTGGTTTCGAATAAGCTTTTGTAATCTAATTCATTTTGATACACCTTATTTTCCACATTTAATTCGACGACAACTATATCAATATCCACTTAGTCGACATTGTCGCTTACGACGTTCTTATCATAGTATTGAAATTTGGATGTAATAATACACTAATTATGTTAGAAGAACTTCCTATCATACATTGGAATAAAATAAAATATAAAACAAAACATGTTGAGTTGTTTTTTGTTTTTAATACAGCGTTGAAAAAACTGTAACTTTTTGTTGCTTTTTTTTGCAAGTAAAAAATTGAAACTTTGAAATGAAAATAATTTTTAATTGAATTGAACGATGTGTGGGTATCAGATGTTGGGTGTGGATTAGATTTTGAATGTGACTGATGTTGTAGTTGACGTTAAAAAGATTGAATCGACAAAAAACTCGCTTTGAGTAAAACATAACTATTGTTTCGAGGTAGCATTTTTGGGTAAATCCTAGCATGAATTACTCGTTTTCGTTTTCAGATTTAGATTTATTCGGTTATCAATATTCATGCTTCGTACTGCATTTTGCAGTCAAGTGATATTCGAATGTATTTAGCTTTTCCTCTAATCATATGTTTAAAGTCGATACTTTGTCGCGATGACCTTCAAATTAGTATATTGTCTGATTCTCGTTGACAGTTCATTAGAGACATTAAGATCTTAATAGGGTACAAAGTTAATTCATTTTTATGTATAAATGTTTCGTTTAGTGAAAGTAAAATCTGGATATTATTAATAATCTATAGATTTTATTTTCATTATATCGATTCGATAGAATGACAACGAGACTTTGCACTAACCCAGCAATCATTCATTATGGCTAGTACTAATAATAATTAGTCAATGAATAGTTGTCAAAATGCTCCCTAACAGAGCAAACATGCTTGCCTTCTATCCTGTTCTGATAATAATTCAGAAATCATCTTCTTACTCTGTCCTATTGTTATACAGGACACAGAGAGATGACAGAGTTTTCTTAAACCTTTCTTGAGTATGCGATATACTACAAGTCTTTCTTTGTTTTCTGACCTTCAGAAATAGTCTAATATATGAATAGAAATACTTATCTTTTTATAGTGATCAATGTTAATTTCAGACAAAAAAAGATAAGCAACCAAACAAAACAAAGACAATAATAAGTAAATAAAGCGTAAGCCATATGCAGAAACTAGTTTAACATCGCTTATTATTTTATTAAAAATCGATCAAAATGACACGATTTTAAGGTGACCCCCCTTTCCGGCGTTTCTAAGAAATGGCCGAACGAAAATTCCTGAAACTTTCAGGGCAGATAGATCTCGAGTAGTAGAGCAAAAGTTGTCATAGATACGAATTTGTCAGACGTCATCTTCATGGACTTCCAGAGACTCCAAGGTCAAAAGCTTGCAAAAAGTTTTCCCCCTCCGCAAATCCACAGATTTCATCTGTTTGAGCTGAAATTTATACTGTGGGTAGACGGACCCAATCGGGGTGGACGTTTTTTTTTTTTTTAAATTCCAAATACTTCAGGCTGGAGAACCAAAATACTGAGCACTTCGTAAAATCTCTAGGTTTTTTGGATCCTAAAAAGTTTGCGAAGCCTGCCAAACTTGATTGGTAGAAGGTATCCAAAAAAAAAACGGCCAACCCGAATCACTTGAAGTCTCACCAAAAAAATTTTCAGTCCGATCGGACTTGAAATGGCGGAGAAAAGGGGGGCAAAACTGGTTTTTGATACCCAAAAAACTAGTTTCGAGAAAAATGAAAAAAAAAATTTTTTTTTCCGATTTTATTTTTGATTATTATTTACTAGGGGATGCTTTACTGC